ATAGAAGAGATATGGGAGGTTAGTTATACCAAGTTTAAAGTTCACGTCTTCAAATGTAAGTGGGTTAATAGTAATGCTGTGCAAGTGGATGAAGAATTTGGATTTGTTTCGGTCGATCTTGAGAGGTTTGGATATGGAGACGAGCCATTTATTTTGGCAAGTCAAGCAAAACAAGTGTTCTTCGTTCCCGATTTAGCAAAAAAGAAATTGTCTATCGTGCTTCAAGGTAAAAGGCAAGGAGTTGGTGGAGATGATGGTGACTTAGAGCTTAATCTTGATGAAACCCCGCCTTTCACAGCTACTCGACCTAAAACAGTTGAATTAGATTTGGTAGATGATAACTATGCTGTTAGAGATGATCATTGTAAAGGAATTTGGGAGGATAATCATTGTAAGGCTTAAATGAATTATTTGATATTTTTTTTGCTAAATATACTTAATAATATAATGTTTTATATTAACTTGATATTTCTTATTCTTACATTTATTAATTCGTTGTTCTTTAAACAGGAAATGGACGGATCCGGTCAACAGGGTTCTGGTGACGACAGCTCTTTTACTAGCCGGAGAAAGGGTAGAGAGCCAACCTGTATAAGGCATTTAGCTTTACGTGATGAGAGCACACAACCTATAAGGATTACAGTGGAGTTTGATGATGATCTGAAGTCTCTAGGAAAGGCTGGGCTCAATTTACTAGTTATGTGGGTTATGTCGCACGCAGTAAGATTAGCATTGACATTCCTAGCTAGAAGGTGGACAAAGATTTGAAGAAAAACATTTGGGAGGATATATTGGTATATTGTGCATTGTTTTCTCTACTTGTTTCAATTATAGTTGCTTATTTACTTTATAACTCTATGCTATTATTGTATTGCAGCTGACATTTGATATTCCTGCCACTGACCAAATGAGAGACCGTCTGTTTAAGCAACTTGATGAACAGTGGAGGGATTTTAAGGCCACGCTTACAAAACATTATATTCTTGGAAAAAGAAAGGGTGAGCATCCTAAGGAACGATATTCATTTATTAGTGAAGAGGCATAGGAGAGTTTTGTGAAGCAACGTGAAGACCCTGCATTTCAGGTTTGGTTTCTTCAAACTTAATTTTTAATCAGGTCATATTTTATTCAACTAAACTAACTTTGTCGAATTTGTTTCATTGTCATAGGCATTGAGTCAAAAGAACAAACAAATATCTGAGCAGAATGTATACCCACATACCATGTCTCGTGTAGGGTATGGTGGGTTGGAAAGAAGTATGATGGAGGAACGGATGAAGAATGCACAGATGGCTGCTGCTTCAGATCGTACTGGCTACATTCCACCTATTAAGCGTCCTTCTCGCCAAGAAAAATGGAAGGCGGCGAGGATTAAAAAGGGTTAATACATTACTCCACAGTCTGCTGCTGTTGCTGAGAGGATTGTAAGTAATATTTAAGAATTATGCTTCATTAATTGTTTTTTCAATTATTTTAAATTGAATTTGTTGCTTTAATGATACAGGATACACTTGAGGAGCAATTATCTCAAGGTACATTCATCCCTCAAGGACGGATGGATATCTTGGCCACTGCTATTAGAAAGGCTGACCATCCCAGAAGAGTCAGAAGGACCCCTAAAGGGATTGGTATTAAAGAATTTTTTGGCTCTGCTTCACGAAGAAGCACTAGATCATCCTCCGCTAACATGGTATCTAAAGAGGAGCTCGACCAACGACTACAGGAAGAAACGGAGAGAGTTCGAGCTGAACTAAGTCAACAACACATGGTAGAGATGCAAAAGATACGTGACGAATTCGATGCCAAGTTTCAACAAACTCTGATGATGATGATGGGTACGAGCAGATTCCAGATGCCCCGAGTATCTAAACCTTCCCAGGTAATAATCACACATCTTTTTATATCTTCTAAAGATTCATTTGATCCATTTAAACTTATTTAATGTTCCTTAACTAATTTCATATTATGTTTCAGGGTTCACCTGTGATAAAAAGCGGAAAGGGCAGTAATAATCAGACACAGCAATTGACAGTGTCTGACCTTGACCCTAGCCCTGACCCTGTTGAAGACAATGGGATGCCGTGTTCTCTCTATGTGGATTATGAAAATTCACCTATTCATGTTGCTAGTGGTCGAGCATTCATGGGCACAACGATTCACGGCAACAAAATTCCGAGCAATCAAGCAAGGGTGACAGTGGAGAGAATTGTTCGTGGTCGGGGGGGTACACCAGTGCCCAATCCTACTGATGAGGTTTGACTCTTGGCCCAAGCTAAAGGACATTTTATTTTGTGGCCAAAGAGACTTATTGCAAAGCCAATGGTGAAGAAGGTGGCAGCGAAGAAGGCCACAACGAGCGCATCATCAGATCCTGTACTCTTGCCTCTTCTTGGTGATGTTGCGCTTATGTATTCCAGTTTGGAGGTTCTTCATTCCATGGTGCCAAACATGGATAAGCCTATGACTTTCAAGATGCCGTTGGGGATTGTGGGTTCAGATATAACATACGACTTCACCATTGACAAGAGGGACCTTGTTCAGTTCCTCAACTTTGAGGAGCTTGATATAATTTTCATGCAGCTTGCTATTTTGTAAGTTATAATATCATTTTCTTATTACACATTATACTTCATACATGTCCTAATGTTTTTTACTTGAACAACAAGCACTTTAATGAAATCTGTCGAAACGGAGGACTTGAAGGAACATATGGCTTTATGTGTCCTCAAAGGGTGCAGAAAGAATTTAATACTGTGGAAGCAAGGTCAATCTACATTATGACTAGAATGACTCAGACCAGAAAGCCAATATATTTTGCACCTTACGTTAAAGGGTAAGTGTATTATTGTATTTGAGATATACAAGTTGTATGTGTCGGGTTATAATTAACATGGTTTGACTTTTGCAGTTATCATTGGACTCTAATTGTTTGTGCCCTTTTTGACAACAAAGTTTACTGGTTCGATTCACTCTGTGGAAGTCCATCCTAAGAAACCAAAGATGTCATCGACACGTTAGTTCATATTTATATATTTATTACTTGTGAAGTTTATAAAAACATGCTCTAATATCATTTTCTCTTATGCTATTGATAGGGCTTTTCATAGTTTTAATGTTGTGTCGATTAAACAAAATAGACAAGCACCAACATGGATTCTTCCAAAGGTATATCTTGTTTTGAACTAACTTTTGAATATTTTTGGATGAATTAAAGTTAATGTTTATAATCAATAATGTCTAATATTCAATTTTATATCTTATTTTTTTAGTACCGTTGTCAACAAGGACATGTTGAATGTGGATATTATGTCATCCGCTACATGAATGACATAATTGAGACAGGAACGACTGAGAAATTAGACGAGGTAAAGATGAGTTACGTTGCATGACGTTCTTCAATTCATTTCACATTTTTGACTGAGTTAACTATGTTATTTTTTATTAACAGATATTTCAAAATACTACGTCATATCTCATGAATGACATCAACTTGATGAGGGACACTTTGTCAACAACATTGGTACAAACTATTGAAATTTAGCTTTCAAATAGTTAGGTCATTTCTCAAAAAATTCATTGTTAGATGTTTTCTCTCGATTCCCTCTTATATGTACATGTTCATGATTTCTATTGTACAAGAAGTAGTAACTTCTATTTTGGAATTGCTGGTCCTAGCCAATACGTGTTCTTTGGTCTTAACCCCTTAGTTCTATTGGCCGGTTTCCCTATTTTTGCATTGTGTAAAAGAAATTTCAATGTTGTATATATATTAACTAACTAATTGATCTTGTTCTGCGTATTCTGCACTGTCTATATTTATTTGGAACTGTAAACTGCAGAGTGGTAAAAACGAAAATCCAGCAAAATCTAAAAAAAAATTATTTTTAACGGCGGTTATATTCATAACCGTCGTTAAAATTATTTTCAACGGCGGTTAAAACAAAAAACCGCCGTTGAAAGTTAAATTTCAACAGTGATTCTTTGTTTAACCACCGTGGAAATATTAATTTCCACGGCGGTTTCTTAATAAACCGCCGTGGAACCGCCGTGTTTTCTTTACCTTTTAACGTCGCCTTTATTAACTTCGCCTTCAAAAGCGCCGTAAAAAGCCACTATTAATCGCCATGAAAAGCCTTTTTTCTGGTAGTAAGACTTTAAAAAGGACAGAAAAGATGAGGAATTAATGATAGAAAAATTTTATTTTGTTTGAAGTAAACATCACGGTGAGGAAGGCACCGGCCTGTTCGACTGTTCATGGCAATGTAAAGAAGAAAGCCCCACAGAAAAAGACACAGCAGGAAGAAGACGAACAATGTAAGTGAGAAGTTGAAACCAAACCAGGTAAAAGTAGAATAATATTCAATGTTCAAGGTTTCATTTGACAATTCATGCACATAATAATATTGTTTGTCATTGTTGCTACGATCAGTTCTATTTCTCAGATTCATAGTTTTTATTTGGTGATCGAACTACTGCTCTTTCTGAGTTTCAGAACGTTTTTTTTTTTTTTTTTTCAAAGTTTATCCTCTGTGGTTTGTTCAAGGTTGTGCCTGTTAAGGTAAAGGATGGGACTAATTTCAAATATAGCTTCAGAATTTTTAGCGATGCTCGAACATTTAAAATGCCTTAGATGATTGATGAGGATATTGCCACTGGGCTTGGTCTGCTTCTACTATGTATACGTAATACAGTTTTGAAATTGATCTTGTATCTTTTAAGCCTTCAAACCACCTCTCTCTTTGAATAACTAGCGAATCTTAAAGTAACATGATCTTCCCCTTTGGCCTTTTCATCCTTACAGAAGAAGAAGAAGCCCAGAAATCTTAGGAAGAAGCCATAAACAATCATGAACTTGGGGCAACAAGGCAGCATCCACAGTGTAAGAGAAAACCCTAATCTCACATGCATTTCTGAGACATGCTTGTATGAACTGTCGCTCTTCAGCTCTGGGCGTAGTCCATGTACATTTTGGTTGCTCATGCTTAATATACTTATGCCAGGTGTTACAATACGAGGAGCTTATCAAGGGAAAGATTTATGGTATTTAAGTCCCTTGTTAGTATTATAGTTACAATGGTTCTATTAAGTTTTAACATGTTATTTATAAGCATAATCCTAGTACAATGAGTCCGTAACATTACAGGAAAATTAACTAAAATAGACTTTTAGTCTCTTAACTTTGCCAAAATCCTCACTTTAATCCCATAATTTTATTTTCTTCCAATTTGATCCTTCAAATTTATGCAATGTTATATTTTTGTTTGCTAACTCTATTTCTATTCCGCCCCTTCCTTTTAACTCATGTTTCACTATAGTCTTTTAATTTTTATTTTGCATTTCATTCGTTCCCTTAACTTACAAAAATATGGCTTTTTTTAATTTTTTATTTTTTAATCTCTAACACTACCAAGTTGTTTCAAAGAAAATTCTTATGTGTCTTCATAACAATGACTCGTCCCGCCTTAAACTGTTTTGATGTTGAAAGTTTTATCCTATGACAGTAAACTTTAAATTCTCTAGCAGAGAGGCTTTACTTCATTTATTCAGAAGGAGGGGTCAAGAAGACTTGGCTTCTCTGTATATAATTGAAAGTTAGCATGTCCATTTCCATTGCAGGTTGAACCTTGTGATATATGTGGTACTGTTGGTTGGCCTAAATCAATTGCAACTTGCTCCAAATGCAACGTAGCTCGTGAACATGTGTAGCGATTTCTCATATTAGCCCCTTTTTATTTTTGGGCATAAGTGATTTATGTTTACAATTTACATGTGGTTTTATTTTCTCTCGTATTTTTTAAAATTATAGAGAGAAGTACAGTTGAGCTAGCCACTTCCTTTATAGGTTTAATGTGTTCATCCATTGATGGCTTTAGTTTGCTAGATCTTCAATTGTTGTTATGCTAATTAGACATGATTCTGAATTGCTATTCTCTGTGGTTGCCGGTATTGTATGCGAATTTTTTCCCCAAAAATTCTTAATGATTGGATTTGCGAAACTTGCCATCATGAGAATGATACAATGTCTTTAAACATGAACATCTTAACAGGCCCCGGATTTGATGCTTCCAATGATATAAGTGAAGATGAGATAACACCTTCAACCAGTAAAGTTCAAAAGACTTCAATGATTAAAGAACAATCGTCTCATTCATTGGCAAGAGGTGACAACCTTGATTCTCTCTCTAGCCCCTCCCCTCCCCTCCCTGGAAAGTGGAATCTTGGGCACATGCAAGCAAACCATTTGATGGATAAAGATAATTTGAAGCTGTGATATTTTAAATTGTGTTAATCTATTTAGCTTAAGCACTGGATCAGTTTGATTTTTTTTCATGTTTAGCTTAAACAATCCCACCTAATAGGATAAGATTTTTTGTTTTTGCTTAGCTTAAGCAATGGATCATTTGGATATGCACACATCTAATACCTTTTTATCATAATTTACTTTGGAATGAATAATGTTTTATCACTTGAATGTTTCAGGAAGTTCAACTTCTAGGGAAAACTCAGACTAATTCGTTTCAAAACTTAATGGGTAATGTTTTATAATGTTTTTTGTCAATAATTTCAATTTATTTACCTTCTTTTTTTGGTAGTAGTACTAATGATAAATCATCATATAAACTATCAATCATGGGCTGTGACATTTTATTGGAATTGATTGGTTAGGATCTATACTGATTGATCTAAATAGCAGAATTTTTGAGGATGAGCCTTTTGTTGTGACAGATCACATTAAACAAATATTTTATATTTCCAATTTGGTAAATAAAAATTGGTCTGTGGCTCTTCAAAGAAAAGGACTATTAATATTGATGACACCAATTATTCTAATTTTAATCTTTTTTAGGGTCCTTCTTTTTCTTAGTGGTCTACCTAAATTAAATGAAGAAGATGAAGCGGATGATGAACAATCCATAAAAAATGATCACCATATCCTTATATGAAAGTATTTCAAAAAGTTGGTAATTTTGTTTGTAATTATGTTTTCATAGCTGGATATAGTTATTTCTTGGCATGCTTTAATTATAATTTTATTTCAAGTGACTTAATTTATTTTGTAAGCAGAAACATGGGTAGTGGTGTTAATCAGAGAGAGCCTAACAAGACTCGGGATGAACAGGCTAGTGGTGACCAGAGAGAGCTTAGGAAGACCCTAAACTAGCAAACTGGTGGTGATCAAAGTGGGTCTGGTAACCAGGTGATGACACAGAGCTTGGATAGCGTTAATTAGAACAAGCACATGGGCCAGTCAACACAGAGGAATATAGAAGCCAAATACAAATGAAAAAGAAGCAAAACTATCAAAACCTCCTGATTCTGGAACTTTTTATGATGGACCTCTAGATCAAGGGACTGATTTAGCTAAGTACAAGTCTGATTTTGCTCATAGAAAATTTTGCCCTGTGGTTTACGTTGATCTGAAATTTTTGAAGGAATCATCTGCACTACAACTAGACTCATATGAGCACCTTGAATATTATGAAAATTGGTTAAGTATCAACCTCTCTTATAGTCCAGAAGTAGTTAGACACTTTTATTGCAATATGAAAAGTACTGATATGCTGAATGATGAAGGAAATGTAATTCTCTCCTCCACGGAAACTAATGTGAGAGGAAGACCCATCTTTTTGGATCCTCAATTGATCAACACCTACCTCGAAACCCATAATTACCAAGCTGAGAAAGCATACACAAATGAGGAAGTTTATACTCCTTTGATCCTTAATATAAGACTTAATTATTAAGTTAATTTTAGTCTTAAATATAAGACCTATTTCTTATATTTATCAATTTTTTCTAAATTACCCCTATGGATACTTCCTCAACCATAATCAAGTAAGTGAGAGAGGGAGGATATTAAGAAAGATGATTATGGTGTTTTAGGAAAAACAAGTCATATTTCTTATAATTAACTAATTTACCTAATTTTCTTAATCTAATCAAATTAGCTAAATAGGTCTTATATTAAGTACTAGAGGAGTAGAATCTTGAAGCAATCCCCTTACTTCCCTGGAGTTTTGGACTTCAAACCAAGGGAGATGTGTGATTATTATAGGATTATTCACTAAATCTATTCAAGAAGCATGGTGAATAAATCCTCTGGTTTCACTCATCTAAACAAGGATGACTATCCACTCCTGGCCTCCATCATCAACAAAGATCGAAGAAATATTGGGAAATTGATCTACTATCAGATGAGAATGTTTCTTGATCATAAGTCAAAGGATACGCCAATTCCCTATCCTCAACTGGTTTCTTATATCCTTAATCTTCACAATGTTCAACACCTGGAACCTGGAGACAAGGAGTGTAAGATTCCTCGATTTGAAGCGGTGCATATTCACAGGATGCTCATCGGGTTACCTTTCACTGCTGCTCAAAAAGGTCTACCGTACCCAAGGATAAAAAAAAGAATTATTTCTAATATGTATCTTTTTTCCCCTCTATATTACCTCTATTGATACTCCCTCAACTATAATTAAAAGAATATTAGAAGAATATTAAGGAAGATGACTATATTATTTTAGAAAAAATATATCATGTTTTTTATAATTAATTAGCTTATACAACTCTCTTAATCTAATCAAATTAGTTAAATAAATCTTATATTTAAGAATCAGAAAAATATTTTTTGAGGCTAAGCGCGCGCACAGAGAGAGAGAGAGAGAGTTTAACCTAGTTGATCGGTTCAGATGTTATGCCTCACGAAATCTTATCTCAACTAGTCAAAAGTACAAGCACCTTCCCAACAGAGAAGCTTTTGAGTTGCATACATCACACGAGATTCAAAATTCAAAGTAGGATGTTTTGCAGAAGACAAATGTTAGTGTTTCAACATATTAGTGCTCTTCTTTGTAGCCATCCAACATATAATGAAAATTATATATATTCATTTTTCAAAATAAAGTTTATATATGTATATTATACACAAAGATCTCTCTTAATTTCACTTCGGTTGCCCTAAAAGTTACATGCTATGTTTTTAAGATGTTAATTATTTGATACTCCTTTTATAGTGTAAATTAACTACAAAAGGGATCTTATATTTAAGATTGGAGGATAAAATGAATCTTATATTTAGGACAGGAGGAATATTTGAAATTCACTGACATATCTCTTCCCATAAACCTTTTTGATCATGTAACACTTGCTTGTGCTCATTATAATTTTTATGATACATAAAAACTAATAAATCGTATTATTCATAAATTATAAATAATATAATTAATTTTTCAAATTTCTCCATACTTTAAATTCACATTACTTGACTTGGAATTTTATATTCTACAGGGATTATATGAATCTGTTGGCAAAAAAAAAAATTGACTCATTCCAAATATTGCGATCCTCTTAAGAAGAGTATTTTTAGTTGTTGGAAACTTGGATGATGCATTGAAAATAATCTACTTCCAGCTTATTTTGATAACCTTCCTCGTGTAAATTTAAAATTTCATTGAAAAGGTCAAAACATGCAATCTATCAGTCTATTATCAATATAAGTCACTCATAATACATTCTCATATATTAACGAATGCAGTAAATAAACATAACTTTTTAAATGTATCCTCATTAAGGTTTCTCTCTTTCTCTCTCTACATTTACAAATATTTTTGTATTTCCCTACAAGTAACATGCAATGTAACTCTAGATTGTATCGAGTTCTCCCCGATTTGTTCAGGTTGGCCAACCAAAGTTGTGAATAGTCACTTTTTCCCCTCCTTCGATTTTATGAAATGAAGAAAAGGTGATGGCCAAATTAAAATGTTTGCTAAGAATGAATCGCAACTAATTGTGAATCAAAAACTATCATTTCATTTGGCCCAAAAAATCAATTCTTTTGGGGAAAAAAAGTATGCAATTTATTTTAAATTGTTTTGAAATAATTGAACTATGCAAATTCTAACACCCAGAAAAAAAGTATTTTTATACTTTACAAGTCAAGACAAAATTATTTTAAATAAGTTAAACTATTTACTTTTTATCACCCTATTTATCATCAACACATGGGGTTATCTTTTGTATGACTAAAAACTTTTAAATATCACTCTCAACTCTCGTCCTAAATGTAAGTTACTTAAAAGAAAAAAAAATTTTAATTTTAAATATAAGTCCATTTAATGCTTTTTTATTTTTATTTAATTCTTATTAAAAAATAAAGAGATTCTGATAATGATGTGTAAATGTAGAGAATTTTTTAGTAGGAATAAAATTAATTTTTTTATTAATTTAATGTATTTTTTTAATATACAAAAATGTTTTATAAAAGAACGCCGTATGATTTGAAAAATTAATAAAGCATTACTTTTGGGCTGATGCGTTTGAATTTGCATGTTTCCGATGCGTCGAAATCGGAACATGAATAAGAAGCATCGACAGAGGGGGAAAAAAAAAGTTCTGAAGCAGGTCTGTGTCCCTCGGGCCTCAATCCCTAGTCCCTACTTGCATTACTTGCACTGCAAGTTTCCTACTTTTTCGTTGTGGATAAGTCAATATTTTTAGGGAAAATAACCAAAAAATGATGTTGAAATTTGAAATGATAAAAGGGAAAATCCCAGAAAAAGCCCTTGGAATATATCAAATCCCAAATTGGGTCTTTAAATTTCGAAAATGACAGAATGGGTCATTGACCCAATCTGTCATTTGTGAAATTCAGGCGAATTGACATTTTTGCCCCTGAGCAAAAGTGAGTAGTTATTCTCTAAACAAATCTAGGTAACGCTTACACTATTCTAGTGACTACAAGATTCGTTATAGTTAATAATAAGGTATCTGACAATAGTAAGATACCTGACTATGAAAAAATGAATAGTTATTCTCTACACAAATCTAGGTAATGCTTACATTGTTCTAGTGATTACAGAATTAGTTGTAGTTAATAACAAGACACCTGACTATGAAAAAGTGAGTAGTTATTCGCTACACGAATCTAGGTAACACCTAAACTCTTATAGTGATTCCTTGAATCATTGTAGTGAATGAATAAATGAGGGCAAAATTGTCAATTCGCCTGAATTTCACAAATGATAGATTGGGTCAATGACCCATTCTGTCATTTTCGAAATTTAAGGACCCAATCTGGCATTTTCCATATTCCAAGGACCTTTTTTGGGATTTTCCCATGATAAAATGGGTGTGCAAATATATAAAATGACCAAATAGACATGAGGTATCAGTCTGAAATTTTGACAATTCGGTAGAAAGACTAAAATGCCCCTGAACCTCTATGAAGACATGAACAGGTGGTAACTCTCAATACAAAAGTTGTAATTC